TAGTGAAACATTGTCACAAAGCATTAACAAATAGATAAACTATGGCTCACTTGGTGAAATAATCTATAACAACCAGGATAACAGTTACCCTTTTAAGTTTCAGACAGAGAAACCAATTATGCTAATGACTAGGGTAATTTCCTTCAAAGATTCTACAACTCTCTGCCAGAGGTTCTGGTTATTACTCTGGTGTTCACACATATTAGTGTCTATACCATCTATTAACAAACATAAACAGGTTAAACACTTCCGCACATTCACAATGTTGTACAATATTCCCTGGTATCCTCTAGTTTTTGCATTATGCAATACCCCAAGTGACCCCTATCTTAAAGCTCTATGAATCACTACCTGCATCACAGATTGGCTATTATGCTTCAGCAATTCAGAATGACTATATAGCACACAATATAGGAATCATAACTGACTGCACAAATGTGTTGTGTGTTTCATCGGTTTGTAACAGTCATGCTTTACCTTGCTGAATGATAAGAAGTACAGGGGGTCCTTGTTATACGTAGGAGTTAGGGACCAGAAAGTTGCAACTTATAATTAAATGATGTATAACGGTGAATTTTCCCCCATAAGAATAATGGGAAATAAGGGTGATAGGGACCATAAGTGTAAACAGTGTCTACATGACTTAAAGCAAAGCAATTTCTTCTATAAGAAACAATGAAATATGGTATTGAATAGGGACCATAACTTAAGAAAATGTTGTGTTTTATACCTAGCAACCAAACTACGTATTGTACATGTACAGTACCTGTATTATACTATACAACACATAACGCACACATATTTATAAATAATTCTGAATTTAAGGACCTTTAAACAACATTTATATTTACCAAACGCTTCACTGAAAACCATTTTTATGAACATTTTGAAGCAGCCCTGTACACTTTAAAATATTTTCTTTTTTTAATAGAAAACATATTTATGACTCAAACAGAAAACTATTTTTAGTGTAAAAATTACAGAATATTGACTATTGTAAATCTACGAAATACTATTTTGGATGTTTGTTTGTTAAGCACGAAGCTACACAATGGGTTATCTGTGCTGTTCCCATCATAGGTATCTATAAGCCTTCAAACTTATTGCTGAGGCACTGGGGGCATATCATTTTGAAACTGCATTAGTTCTATATGTTTTGTCAACATTTGAAGTACCATTAATTTTCACGTTAAAACAGCAGAAAATTTTAAGTGTACTACAATGCACAGATACTTTCAATATGGATGCATGAGGTTGTAAAGTTAATAGTGCATAATGCTTTGAATGCGGGTGTTCTGGTGTACAAGACAGGAAAAAACTGTGATAGTACTTCTGTTCATGTTACTGGTGAAGCAGACAATCGAAAAATTGTTCATATTGTGATAAAAGCACCAAAATTTCAGGAATTGTAGGTCAAACTATAACCATACAAGACAGGATGGGAGCCACTCAAATTTCTTATTTTATCATAGCAGAACCCCCTGCCCCAAACTCCACTCCCACCAGAACAAAATGTGACAAAATTGACGAGATTGTTATATTTAATTCCAATATTTCTAAATTATTGGTTGACATGACTTGAACCAAATCACCAAAACAACAAATATTTGCTTCAATTATATGTATATATATTTATATATATGTATTAAAATACACTTATAGTAGAATACATATTGCCACCATAAAACATCAAACTTTATAACTATTTGTAAAACTAAGGCAGTGCTGTTTACATTGTGAATTAGTCTTAGCTACCAACAATCAAAGCAATTACAAGAAGTACATTATAACATATATGCATCATTATTATGTATATACCAGTAAATGGACAATCAGTTATTTTAGAGTGCAGACTGCCTCCAGAAGTCATGTATTTTGTATGTCATTTAGTTGCACATGTTATAATATCTGTTGTTTTTATTTTCAAACTGATTAGCAAACCACAGATACATGAAATAAGTAATTATAAGTAAAGACATGATTACAGGTTGTATTAACACTACACAATTTTATGGCCAAAATTTTTACACTTATGTTAATAGATCCTAAATGGTACAGCAAGTACTACCTTCATGGGAGATTAATTTTGCATATTATGTACAGGTAGTTGAGTTCACCAAAAAACTGGTCTCCGATAGGTACATCATAACTTATAAACATCACTGCAATTATGATAGTTTTTCTTTTATGCAAATTATCTGATACTATGTCAGTGTTAATGTCTAAAGATAAATATATATATATATATATATATATATATATATATATATAATCAGCATGCTCATGTGGGACAAAGCAGACATCATCATAAGTGGGAATGCAATAATTCCATTTTCACATATTGTACATTGTGTAGCACAAGCACACAAAGCTGTGAAACTCAATTTTGCCTTATAATACTTGTACAAGCCATGACATGTTGTTTTGCATCCAAAATGGATATGTCCATAACATACTTTGGGATCCATCCATGAGAAGTATGTTCCCAGCCACACTCCACCGGAGAAGAAAGATTTGGGTGTAGTGTTTGGCTCCAGACATATCCAGCCTGAAGTGCAACTCTCTTTTAGATGCTTGGTCAGAATTCGTTTTGTTGGTGGAATGTTCTCATTCCTCTGACAAACAGAATCTTCCTTGTTTCATTAACATGAGACTCAGCTGAAGTTTTGGAATAAAGCAATTCAACAGACTGTTCTCATATATCCATGATGGACTGTGTGATGCAAGTGGGACATAATGAGAGCAACAAGCAGGCAATTGTGAGAAAATATACCATCCACACATCCCTAAACTAAATTATTAATAAAACCAACTGTATTATTATTTTGCCTCAAAAATGTGTTTCTGTGGGTGGGTGTCTTAGACAGGGGGTTCCACATCCTGTATCACAAACATATATAATAAGGTATTTATGTGCCATATCTGATGCTTTTATGATAAAGAGAACGATTTTGATGGTTTTCTTGGTTTATCAGCTGCATTATACTGTGTATGCTTCTTGGGCTGAGAAATTAACATTATTTATACAACATGATATTTATGTTCTTCATAAAATACAATGTGATTTGCAACTGTTCGGTGAACTTTAAAGAGTTTGAAATAATCTATAATAATTATGTAGTCTAAAGACTAAGCAATAATAACATTTTCAACAACAAAAAAATAACATCTGGTATTATTCCAGGAAGATACATTCTTATGAAATTATTCAAGTAACCCCTTTACTCTACATAAAAACTGAAGCACTGAAATTACAAAAAACATTATTATATTGTTAGATGAATTATATAAATATAAGTGAAAGATAAAGGGAACCACAGATATCACTTCTAAGTATTGCAAGAATATGTATACATTCTCATGGCTCAGAATGGATGTGTTTCCTCAAATGCTTAAATTTATATACCTACTTTAGTTGTGTTTCAGGTCATCACTCAATGTTATCATATGAAACTACATATACAACATATTATTTTGAAGTTATTTATAAAATATGATAATAGTAATGTGTAGACGTTAGCAAGTTTTATTAAATCACACATGATATAGCAGCCTAACCAAATATTTAGAAGTGTCACACAAGTTACACAAGAAAGTTTCTATGACAATGTCACAAAGACCCAAGAAATGTTAAAAAAATGAAAGGTAGACATCATCATATTTTATGGAGGAAGTGTTACCAGTTTAATGTATGCCTTGTTCTGTTATATAAGTTAAACTATATACACAGTAGCAATCATGAATGAAACAAGTCCATCACATATTGTGTAGTAAGTTTTTGCAATGACTGACATTGTGTATATAAAATATTATGTAAAAGTTTATAGGGTGTTAAACCAATCAAGTATTCAGTGGATAATGTCAGTTTTCAAGATTTATTGTTCTACAGACACACACTTTTCGCATACTGCATGATAGGAAAGATTATATCTGTGATATTCAAGCAATAATTGAGAAAAGATATATCTATATACATAAAGCACAAAAATCCATGTCTGTCTGTTTGTCCATCATCTAACTACTCCTAGGTTGCTAGGTCAATCTCAACCAAACTTTGTGAGAAGACAGTTTGGAACAAGGGGCATATTAATTGGGGGTTCCCAACCCTCCTCCACCGAATTATTGATATCATTGAGCATTTATTATCTTTGACGTAAGTTAGCATTAAATACATTCATAAATGGCGCCATGTTCTTCCACAAACAAAATTAACTTTATTAAATTTTCTATAAAACAACATACACATATCGTCGAGAGAGAGAGGGCATAGAAATGTCATACATATCTCAGAGTATGCTAGCACTCTCTATGGAGCAATGAAATGAAAAAAGTGGCTGCCACTATTGTGATAATACATAAACTCAGGTGAAATTTATACTACAACAGACACCATAATGCTCATATGAAGAACCGTTTCTTAAGTTATACCCACTTCCTTATTTGACCCGTGATCTTACAGCTTCATCCCATAAGACACTTCTGTAGCTAATGATCATCAAGTAATTAATATGAAACAGTGAGGAAGGACATTAAGATCTGGATGTTGAAAGTGGGTAACAGAAAGCACCCTTACTGTCTCTACTTTGGCTACTACCTCTTCATACAATGTCACCCTGACCATTGCACAGTGTATACCATGTTTTATGTATATACATAGTGAGTTCTTGCAGCTCATACTAAACTTAGGGTGAGGTAATAATGAATACTATAACAATTTGCTATATTATAAACAAATTGTGTGAAATTTAGGATTTTTGAGTTATTCATCATAGCATCTACCCGCACATTTGTTTAAGTTCATAATCCAGACAAAGGATAGGTACCTCAGTTTGTGTATGTATATATAATGTCACCAAAAAGCATGAATTCCATTATTTATTTATTGTATGTGCATTTAAATACTGATTCCATCATAAACTAAAACTTCAAACAGATACGACACTAATTATTACTTCGATTATTAGTATTAATAATATATAGTTTTAAACTCTCACACTTACCCATTGTTCCCCAATGAACAGGAAGGAATTCGTTAATAATGGTCTGAATGAGTCGAGGACAATTCATTACCTGTTGAAATACAATACCTTTATCTAAGCAGAATTCTGACACACAATGAAAAAAAATCTCATGCTTAAAAAAAGTATGTACATGTACTGTAACAAGGCTGTTTAGATAAAAATGAGTTACAGCATCAAATTATTTATGTACTTGTCAATATTGTCAAAAAAAGACTCTGTATGCCCAAAAAATATTTCTCAGCAGCCCTCTGAAACCATCTAAATCACATATCTACAACACATACAACTTATTTAAAACTGAATAGTTAGAATAAAAAAATTATGCAAAAACCTGCTCTGATTTGATAGAGAAAAACTTGCACGTGTATATAATACAATTCATGTACCATCCATATTTGTACAGAACAAAAAATATGTTTGTATGTGTATCTTTTTCAGTTAGTTTTAAAAGCATGAATCTGTTTTTAGAAAGTTCAGGTTTACCTCAAATAATACACCCATATTAAAGAGATGTACATTTCATTCTACTCAATGTATAACTATAAGTTATATATTAACCATTTTAAATTGTTAGTTACTTGACTTTTAATTGTACAGTTGGAAGAATAAAACACCAAATGATTTTTTCTGTAAAGAACATAACACAAAGGAATGCTTAGTTCATTAAAAATATATATAAAGGCATTAACCAGTCAGTTATTTCTATTATTATTTTTGGTTGTTTTCTATTTTTAAATTACTGAAGAATACATACGAAAGCCATTGACTTTTATACATTTTTTTAAACTGGTTATGCACTAAACTCCTTGCTTGTACATGACTTTCTTGATAAAACAGTCCTTAATAACATACACATCACATAAGAAATAATTAAACAATTACTATTAATACTGTATTTAAGCCCACTAATTACTTTTGGGTACTACATATATTTGACAAAAAATATAAATGATTTTGCCCAGTTGTTACATCAGTTCTTAACAACTGGTATTATAACAGTCAAAAATATAGAACTGCTTAATATGATGCTATATGTGGACTCCTACTGGTAGTGAATGATATGAAAACAAGTTGTTAAAATTAGGGCTAATAAACAAGATGTAGAATGACAATTGTGTGAAAGGTAATTGTTACACAGCAAGATGCAAGGCAAGTTATAACATAGATAACATGAGGTAACAATTCTTGAAAAGTGTTACTGCAAGACCGAAGGAGTATATCATTCTATTACACCACATACAATAAAGTCAGTGCAAGCCACAGCTACACTCCACAGATTTCCCCACTGTGTTGATACTTTTTCATTTTGTGGTGATACATTATCCTTGTTTCCTGTATTATCTGCCTAATGTTATACATTTATTTTCTGTAACATTAAATAACTGTTGAGGCCAGCAGTTGTACTGATATGAAACAGAAAGAGGGTTCAGTCTCTATAAAAATTCATATCAAAGAAAGACAAAAAAGATCATTCACTTAGATTTCAGATTTCTGTAGTTGTATTTATACTTACAAATGATTATCCCAGGTTAACTACACACTTTCTTAAGACTTACATTACTCTATTACTTATACACTGATGTAAAATGCATGGATAACATTAATTATTTTGAATAACCACATTGAAATAAGTACACATTATGTTTCAGATCAATTGGAGCAAGCAGAAAGATCTCAGTTCCAGGAAAAAATAAACAAACATCATTCACCATAAAAACATTTTTTGTTTTGTGTCAGAGTTTATTAGTTTGTTGTAAAGCACAAAGCTATCTGTGCTCTACCCACCATAGGTATTGAAAATAAATTTTTAGCATTATAAGCCCAATGATGTACTGCTACACAAGGGTTGGGGGGTAAAATTATTGGTACAAAGATATCTAGGTCAAACTTTTTTTTGTTTTCAAGACATCAACTATTAAAAATGAATTTAAAAAGTAAAATACAATGGTTAAAATAAAAATAGAATAATTGTAAAAGATGTCTTTTAAAAAAAACGTTAAAATTGTAAATAATTTCAAAAGGTCTTTGGTTTTTCAAAAGCCAAAGAAACATGATTCAGTGGGTCAGAGTCATCATTTTTAAATTCTGTGATTCTGAATCAATCCAGCATTATCATAACTGAGTAAAATTATGTTGATTAACATATTTCAATGGTCTTTTTGTTTCTCTCCGAGAGATATACTGATTATCATCATAATCATATAGTAATTGTATATATGTACAGTGTACCAGTGCTTTACAGTAACCATTTTAACAACCTCATGTTTATATGTGAATTTACCAGCATGTATATATTATGACAACTTATTAAATCATACAGCACTTGAATTGTTCACACAGTGTTGATATAAAAATTAAATTAGGATTACACAACATATGTCAATAACCTGCAAGTTTTCCTGTGATGTGTTTATTTATATACAACTTTTTCTTTCTTATCAGATTGATGTGTGAAAAAATTGTTGATATGAATTGTTGTGTAAAATGTTTTTAATTACCTTACTGTGTAGACATTATACCTTTTATAACTTTGGAATATGTTTTATGCAATCTGAAGTAATTTACCAATTTTATAAAAATATCTCTTGGCTTTCACCATCTTCCCATTATATTCCCTAAGCAAAATTCAGCTGATTCTTGTATAATCTCTAAGATTTATTTACATCCATATCAAAGGAAGTCTACTTCTACTCAGGTTGCAAGTGTACCACCGAGTAGTATAAATATAACTGTAACACAAAACTGCTATTAGTTTTATTGCAAGTCTTCATAAACATAACATCATTTAAACAAAAATCAGTGTCTTTGCCAGATAATTTATACTCATGCTTCAGGGAAATTGCTCTGATGGAAGGAAATGTCACTTGTTATAAATCATGTTTTAAATACAGACACACATACATTTGTGCATGTCTGTGTATACTGGGAGAGACAGACAGACAGTAATATACTTGAAATTCATGCTTAGAGTCAATGCAATCAATTCACTGTAAAAATTTAAGCATCACATTTTTTAGACAAGGAGTCAAACTCTTCAGAAACATATGTCTGAAAATTGTACTTTCTGTTATTCTCAAATTCTTAAAACTTTTACTTCTACAGATGCTCACAGACTCTGTAAAAGAAGAAGTGGCCTTGACTATTTCACTCAGATGTAAAACAAGTAAAGAATACAAAAATCTAGTGTACAACATTCAGTTAATTATTTTGCAAATGTAATGAAATTTATTTTGTTATATAGAAGTATTTTAAAGTCAAGACATAAGAAATTTAACAACTACATCCTTGAATAATAAATGCTTCATACTTTAGTTCAGTAGAATAATAAAATCATACTGATACAGATCCTATACTGGAACAGCTATTAAATCCAGGTAAGGTAGCATTCAGAAAGTAATTGCTAGATATACTGAACAAACTAAAGTATAAATATCATTAGAAAGAAACAGGTGACCGTACATTAAGGTCAAGATTCAATTGTAAGGTCCACTAATGAAATTATCTCAAGGACACAATCTTGTAAGTATTGAGTTCTTATCTAATTTGATTTTACAATTTACTTTCCTCAGTGTTCAAGAGAAGTGCACTTATTCTTGTTTCAAAACTTGAAAATTTACATAATGTGCATCAGTGTTTTAGCTATCACAAATTGTTGAACATCTGGAAATGTCTGATCATATTCTAACAAAATACACAATTGTTAGATTCATTTTGAACCAAAGTACATTTTATTTTTCTTTAAAAGTAAAACTGTATTACACATAGCAGGGAAGTGTATACACTCTCTGACAATTAGCATTTCCTATGTTAAAAATCACACACAGCTACTGGTGGTACTAGTATAATGCTATGAGTGCTCATTAAAACAAACAACAAATTACCAAACACATAAATAACTTTGAAGTAAGAATGAATCATAAACAAAATTGAACAACCTGAGTATTTGACTGAGTAATTTCTAAATGTTCACCAATAAAACTGAAATGCCAGAATTGTTACTATACAACACTCAGCATTAATTAAACACCAAACTATACACCGAATGGTAATTTAGATAATACTTTGTATTGGATATTACAAAACGAAAGGGTGATATCTCTATATCAAACACACACAAACACATATATATGTGTGTGTGTGTGTGTGTGTGTGTGTGTGTATTGTTAATGGAAAAACAATGTGCTTACTCTATTTGAACTCAGTACACCAACTTTAAACTTTCCTTAAAATCTCAACACTAATACAACCAATCAACAACAAAAACTTAGATAAACTTTTTTCTAGTTCACTGTATCATTCTGACTTAAAATTAACAAAAACACATAACTTTTACTCAAGCATCTTGTTTGTTTTATATTCTTTAATATATAGTTAATGGTTTCCACATTTTAACTGAAGATATTATATTTACTGTTTGCAAGGTAATTTGCTAACATGCCTTGCATGATTTTTTAATACTTTTAGTTGTCTAATTATTCTGAACATAAGTAATGGTATGTTTCATAGCAACTACTCATACTGAGGAATTCAACTGGATGTAGTTGACTAATCACTGACAATGGACTTGAAACATGTTTCAAAACTTTAACAAAAATTTAAGAGAATATTTAAAAATGCTGTCCACATTTACCTGTGATTCATAACATCAAACTAGTTTAAGAGATTCCTGTGTGCAGTACAACACCACAAATAGAAATTAAATTATCAGCATTGCTATGTGTAAGAACAGTATCCCCTAAAATCATGCTTGTGGGAAAGTGGCAATAGATACAGAATACTTTTTCCAACACAGAAACCGGACCTCACGGAAAACCCACATTATTAAAAGTAAGCTCCCACTTTTAAAAAGTTTTTGAGAATTAGAAATCTTCACACTCTTTAGATATAAGAAATTTATAACTGTGTATGCTTGAGCTGCCATGTATTGAAGCAACTGAACAAAAAAGTTGTACTTTTTCTAAAATTACCGAAATAAAAGAAAATAAACAGTTACATAAAATATGGAAACCACTATTATACTTGTTACCTGTGTAGCACTTTCCAGTGAATGTCTTGCTATCCTGATAAGAATATCAAATATGTGGCCTACAACAGCAGCAGCAGGGTGGCATACTTCAAGAATGTAACGAAGGCGTGGCAGTAGATCTATTCGCAGAAAACCCTGCAAGCCAAAATATTCATTATAATTAGCTTAGTCTACTAGTGCTTATTATCCATTTTAAATTCGATAAAATAAATAAAATCTATATATACCTACTTAAGGTTACTATCAAACTGAAAGTATTTTCTAACCTACAAAAACTGAAGTTAAATTGAAGTCATTATACAGTTGAAGGTATTTTTCTATATTACTCAATTTGAAGTCTTACTAATAATCAGTCTCAAAAATAAATTATCAAATGTTGCTTAGGTTGAAAGAAAAAGCTTGTGCATATTTCTAGAATATCATACACAAGTGTATGTATAAATGTTTCTAAGAGAAAAAAAAACTAATACATACAAGTGACTTACAGCAAACTCTCAAAAATTACCATGACTACTAGGCTACAAGTACTGCCTGTTATCAGGACTTTCTAGACTAAGGAGGCAACAATTATAAGCATTATCGTTGGTGTTATGACTATTCAATAAAACCAGTTATACTACAGCACAGAAATTCACTTAATCCATGGTTCTAAGAATTCTTTCACGTCTAAAAAGAAATGATTTTTCAAGTTTTATATGTTTGAGCTACTAACCTTAATAACATCCATGCTAATGATCTGAGAATCTGTTAGTTCCGACATATCACTATCATTCTCCAATTTTTCACTTGCCAACTGTGGAGAAGGTCTAATGGAGGGAGTCTCATAACCTCGGAACCAGGAAAAAGCCTGATCTAAACACACCTACAATATACCAAAATAATTATCTAGAAAGATGTTCCATGCCTTTGTTAAGAAAACTTTCAAAATGTTTGTAAGTTTGATCTACATAAATTTATACCATTAAAATGCATCTCATTAAATACAAATAAAATACTTGTGTATATAATTAAGATCTGTTAATAAAACCTCAACTTTAAGTTTCAAAACATTAAAAAGACTGTGGTGAGCTTTCACAATGTAAAGGATCTACATCATGTCATATTCACACGACATACGGGATAGCTGGTTTTTGAATTAGCAATCTGTTACAGAAAGAATGACAAATGACAGAAGAAAATTACAAAAACATTATAGGGATCTACATCTACTTTTTACACAAAAAATTATTAACAAACTAACCTCATCTGGTCCAGCAACTATCAAACTCTGTATAGCATGTACAGCTGCAGCAATAATAGTTTCAGTATTGTCATCTACAGCCCATCTCATCAAAGGTACAATACCAGCTTCGAGAAGTTGAGAAAGAAACTTCTCCTTAAAGCAACCATCAAGAAGACCTTGCCAGTACTAATGAAAGCAAAGATAAGACATTTAACAAAATTTGTTTTCAATGAAATAAAATACCCTTACCTTTCATTTCTTTTTGTTTTAGTTCTCAATCTGTTACTGAAATGTTCTTTGTTGCACTTTATACAGATGTATTCTGCACTAAATTACAATTGTTTGTGTATATTCTTCTGGCATTAAACTTATCCTGACAGATCATCTGACTGACCACTTTATTAGGACTCCTCATACATGTAACAATACTCCATAAACATACAAGTTTAAAGAGAATGTTCACATAACATGTCGGATCATACTAATTATTCTGCAAGGCAATGGGGAAAAGAAAGTCTGTATGGCTCAGAGAGAGATGATAGTGAATGTTTATCTATGAGAAGTGTCATTCTTAAAGACCATATCAAAGTCAAACTGTTCAAAGTCATTTGTGGTCAAGAGTGACACTTAATAAGCTTAATGTCTTCCATGGGGTATTATACATGCTGTACAGTATAATTCTAATGATTAAATGTTAAAACCACAAAATACATGAATGAATATATATATATATATATATGCAGATTTTGTTAAACAAGACCGATGTCTGTAGGTTTACTTTCATAGTCTCCTATGCGCCTGGATATATCTACGGAACCGTAAAAACTCATAAACAGAACAGCCCTCTACGGCCAATCATAT